ACACATATTGATCCCTGATTGGATTTCATTCAAATCATCCTCTATACACATGTTAAGTGCTTAATCTTATGATTTCTCTGCATTATCAAGTTACCAAACAAAACAGGTAGAATCTCTACGCTCAACTCCCTTTCCCAAATTGCTTCTTATAGATATACATACTATGCAGGCATATCTAGAAATTTACAGCTTCACAATTATGCCTTTTCTTCATGTCCCTTTATGAAAAGGATGTTCTTGGGCACAGGAATTTCCCCCAGAACATTTGTGCCTTCCTCAAAATTTTTCTTCTAGATCCTTTTACTAAGACACATGACACCGATTCGTCAGTGGCATCCCCTACCTCCCTCCAGTTGATAGTCACCTTCACCCCTTCTCTCACAGTTAGAGTTGAGAATATTATTAACTTTGTAACTTTTAGCATGAAACTTGATTTGAAGTAGAATTGTCAGTGCAATATTATTGTGCCTCCTGGTAAAATCCTTAAAAGTTAAGGCAGTGCATTTTCAAAATATGTGATGGATGTTTTCATAGTTTCCACACAACACCTGAAATCACTATGATTTTCCATAATTGTATATTTGCAACCACTTTTAAAGTGACATATGTAGATACTATGTGTGACACAAAGTAGACAGTAAATACTACATTACATCTTTAATTAGAGGGGAAGTAAAGAAGGACAGGATGGAAGAATCAGTGGACAACATTTCCACTCAGCAAACAATATGTCTTGCTTTACTTATAAATTATATTCAAGTTCTAATCATTTTTTCCCCCAAGCTATAGTGAATCCTCCCATGCAGGATATTTTTAATGCTTTAAATTATAATTAGTCAAGAAAACTAGTTATGAAGAAAAGTTAGATGATTAGATAATAACAGTGTCTGGAATGCACAGAAAAACATTATTATAGCAGTTCATTAGCTAATGCATCACATATAAACAAAATATAGGGATAAAACTGCCTGGTGTCAGGCTGTTGTTCAATGTTTTTTTAATTTAAATTCTAGGGCAAATAAAGGAAATGTTAACAACACACAATAATCATAGAATATAACTGAAAGAGGGAATAGTATCTAAAAATGACAATCTGCCTTCCTAATTTAGGATTGCTCATTCCATGGCCTATAGTTTGTTTCCAGTGATAAATATCTGCTCAGGTTTTCTATATGTGTTTTCTTATTTCTTTGAGAAGATGATTTCATGTCATAAAACCTATATATTTTAATACAGTATTCTTATTTGATTTTCCTTAAAACTATATAAACTTCAAGTAAAAAAAATAAGATCACTTAATACGAGTTTTTTAGGAAGAAAAAAGAGGCAATGGGGAAAGAGTCTCCGTGTAAAAGCAAAAATGACCTTCTGTAATGAATTTCAGTTTCTCTAGTGTGGCAAGAGTAACGTCTTGGCACTTGGACCATGCTATTCACCTGAGGGTTGTCAATCATTCTCATTTCGAAAGACAGAATTTATGAATTGTCAACATGCCTTTCAGGTGAAAAACCAGTGTTTATCAGGAGAAAAACTAACATAAAGTCTCAAACAAGTTGAAAACAAAATGCTGCCTGGTCACCTGATCATAATCTCCAGTTCATATGTTATAACAACTCTAATATGTGAGCTATGGATAACAAATTGCAAAGCTATTACTGTGTTTTTCAAGTGCAATATAATCTGGAGATCAATGGCTTGAGTTTTTTCTGTATACCATATAAAGTCAACTACTTGTCACTGGGCAACCCTATAAATACAGCTGTCTAATACAGAAACTGCTGACAGCCTTGCCGGTGATTTCAGTAGTGGAAGCCAGGGCTAAACACACTGAACTACATTAGAATTGGTCCCCAGAGGACAGAATTGAACTTCACTGGCAAGGGCACTGTAAGAGTTCTATTTGACTTCTCATTAAACCTCTCATAGGGATTGTAGTTCCTTCTCTGTGGCTGTTATTGCTTCTCTTTCTATAGAAGAGAGAGATGTAGGCACATAGGCATTGGCACGACTTTATGCATTTAGGAAAAGATTGCTGTTCCTCATAAAAATGAAGCCTCCTACAGATTTTTAAAAAGATAATCCAGTCTCTTGCTCATTAACCCCCTTATTTCCAAAGAAGTAGAGAGGTTTATTTCAATTTGTGAGAATTCATTTTCAAATGCCTGTCTTAGGGCACATAAGAAATTCTGTTTTTTCTGTTTATCTTCTCTCCAGGAAAAGCAGCATTAGGGGAAAAATAGTTGGTGATAATGATCTCAGCCTTCATTACCTAACAGTGTTGTTGTGATAATGACATAAGAGCAAATATTTTCAAGCAACTGGTGAAACATACAGGACAGGTGCTGTAAGTTGCCCATAGCTGTCCTTGTTGACATAGAGTCTTGAAAATAGCATAATACAATTTATCATACTTTGTAAGTATTGCATTTGAAAACCAGTCAATAGTTCAAAGAAACACACAGCAAGCTCTATGGTTTGTAAATACACACTAATGATGATATAGCATTTCACATTCTTGGGAGTCTCTTCTAGGAAGATTCACAAGACTGTTATTGTTTAAAGTGCAATAAAAACAAATGCAACTATTTTATACAGCAACAGTTAAGTAAAATACTTTTTTCTCTAAAGAGAAGATTTTCTGTGATTATGAAATAATGCCTTCAGTCTTCAGGTCATCGAATCACAGTGTTATTTAATGGAGTATTAATAATGCTAATTACTAATACTTTACTGGGGAATATTTTACTGCTTACTACTACTGTTATTGTTCCCCAAAAGTAGTCCATATATTCACATATACAAGGGCACAAAAAGCCAAGCAAATTGTGATATAAATGATGAAGTAAAAATTGAAATATAAAATAGCAAAATGTGATTATGTAAAAATACGCAGCACTATGAAAGTTCTCTTTGCATTAACAAGATGAATGTGCGATCAATAGAATTACTTTCTAATGCCCTACACATCAGTTAAGCCTATGTCTATATGTCTGCACACACATACACATACACATACATGAACATTTTCATATCTACACCATGGAAACACGCACACTTCAAAATAAAACTGCAAAAGAGGAATTGTTGGTCCCTTGTGAGTATGACTTTGTCTCTGGTCTAAACATATCTTTAGTTCTGGACATGATCACTTTAGTGCCAATTGTAGGAGTGGGTGGGAATAGAATGTTGCTTTCAGGAACTTCAAAATAAAGGGAAACTACATCAAAACAAAGTCCCTAAAAGTGGAGTCCCAAGGATAAAATTTTCAGTAGCCCATGAGTCTGACCCAGAGGGAGGGAGAAACAGCGGATAATTCCCAGGAGAAAGAGGTGGTCCAGGCCAACAAAGAGTGGGCCTGAGGATTCTAAAATGAGCATAGGAGGGAAGAAAGAGGTAACAACAAAAGAATCTTCTAAGACACCAAAGACAATACTTTCACATAAATTCAGACCATCATTCTATATTTATGCGTATGAGCATTTACTGCACATACATACTCATGTAAATACATTCAATCTTAATCTTTCTCAGACACACGTATCTACACCAACCAAAAGGTTAATGTTTCATTACTACTCTTCTAGTAAAAGGCATTGTAAACATAGCCCTGGGTCCTTTCTGATGCCACTACTCCCCAGCTGTGTGACTAACTCAAGTCGTTGCCTGAACTCCTACATTATGGCCAAGGTCACCTTGCCAGGCTCCTGGTGCCCAGGCCTGTCTCAAAGACAAAAAGAAAGTTCCATTATTGGCAGGGCACAGCTAGGTAATTTACATGATAATAAGGAGTGATTTATAGTTAATAGTGTACCCCATAGTTTATTTTGACAGACATCTTTCAAAAATACACATAGTAACCGAGGACAGAAATAGTTTGGGGATACACAGCTTGGAAGTAGTTGCCTGACTTCTAAAAAGTCACAGATTAGTTACTTATGAATAATGCACACTTGTTAAAAAGTATACTAGTGAAGGGGGTCAAAAGTTACAAATTTCCAGTTACCCACCACATAAATAAGTCCTGGGGAGATAATGTACAGGACTGTGACGGTAGTTAATCATAGTATACTGCATATTTGGAAGTTGATAAAAGTAGATCTTAAAGAGTTCACAGCATAAGAAAAAACATTGTAACTGTGGAGTGACAAATGGTAACAAGACTTATTGTGGTGACCATTTCACAATATAAACAAATATCGAATCATTATATTGTACATCTGAAACTAATATGATGCTATATGTCAGTTCTGTCTCAAAAAGTAGGACAAAAAGATTCCATATACCCTTCACCCAGTTTCCTCCGAAGGTAACATCTTATATAACTAGAGTAAGTATCAGAATCAGGAAACTGACATTGATGGAGTCCACAGACCTCAGATCTCACCAGATAATGTACACTTCTTTGTGTGTGTGTGTGTGTGTGTGTGTGTGTGTGTGTGTGTGTGTGTGTGTGTTCCTATGCAGACTTATCATCTGGATATTCTGTTTCAGGTGACCTGAAGTCAAAGGGCAGCCACTGAAATTTACAAGAACTCCTTATTTCAAATGGAATATGTATACAATTGTGCTTGGGCTAGTGTGGAATGGAGAGAATAAAATTGTTTAAATGGGATGGAAAGAATGGAAGAGGGGAAGGTTATCCTCCCTATTACACACACACACACACACACACACACACACACACACACACACACACACACACACACACACACACACACACACACACACACACACCACTCTCCATCTACAATCACAACCAAGTGTTACTGGTCCTTTATAACTACAGCTGACAGCCCATGTAGAAAGACTTAGAGTTGACTGGGATCCGGACCTCGAGTTGCTCGCGAGGAGTCAGGAAGCCGGACAGCTCCTGCGTCCGAGACCATGGGAAGGGTTGGGGTGGAGTCTGATGTGGGGGCTGCTCAGTGATCAGGGGGCGGACGGGCGGGCGGGCCCTGGTGGGAGGGCTGGGAGGCTGCTGCCACTTCCTGAGTGTGCAGCCCAGAGTGAGAGTGTCGCTGTGGCCCTAGGACCGCGGAGGGCTGGGCACAGGGTCCCCGCCTCTCGCTCACCACGCGGACCCCGCGCCTCCTCCTGCAGCCCCTGCGGCGGCAGAGCCTCGCCCACAATCCCCACCCTCTGATCTCCTTAGCTGTTAAAGAACAGCAACGCCTGGCACGTTCCTGGAGGACCCCGGGCGCAGAGGAGAAGGGGGCAGGCGCAGGGGAACTCGAAAGGCAGCATGCGCCCGCCGGGGGCAGCCTCGGCGTCTACGGTCTGAGGCTGCAGCCCCAGTTCGCCATTGTGAGCCGCCGCCTGGGGAGCTCGGCCGCGCCGCCAGCCCCCCGGGTGCCGGTCCGCGCCGCGATGGGGCACCTGCCCACGAGTACGCGCGGCAGCCGCCGCCTTCTGCCTCTGCTTTGGCTCTTTGTGCTGCTCAAGGTAGGGAGTCCCCACCCCCACCCCGCCCCGCCGCGGCGGTCCTGCCCGCGCTCCGGCGCCGTGGCTCTGTGGCGGGGGTGCCGCGAGCCCCGGGCGCCGCGGCCGGGAGGCTGGAAGCGCAGGCGGTGCAGCCTGGGCGCACGCTTTGTTGTCCTTGAGTGTGCGTGTGCCCGGTAGGCTTGAAGGATGGGGTGGAAGAATAGGGAAGTTTTCTCCCTCCAGCGTTCCCCTTTGTGCCCCTTTTTCCGCCGCTGGTATCCATATCAAAGATGGGCTTGTTGGACAGTGCTTCCTCGGGCAAAATGAGGTCACTTTCCCTCCTGGTCGCCCTGCACCCCAAAGCTGCTCTACCTTTCCTCCCTCCCCCAACGGAGTGTGCGGCTGCTTTGTCTTAATTTACTTTCTGCTGGAATTATACTCCGGGGGCGAGCTCTCTGGCTGCAAATGGACAGCCGGGGTGGATCGTGAGCATGATTTTCTTTGAATAAAGAGTGTCAGCTTGAGCCTGGAGAGGACTTCTCTCCCCAAGTCCTCATCTCCAACCTGAGAATTCCCTTTGCAAAGTCTTTAGACTTCCCCCATTATATTGACAGAGGATGCTACCTCTACATTTAAATGGCAGAAAAATCTGTATAATTAACTCTTCAAGTCTTCTTTGGAGTATGCTGCTTCAGGGTTTCACTTCGAGGAAAATGGTAAGGAAAAAGGCTGGTTAAAAAAAAATCGTAGTTTGACAACTATACGGTATACAAAATTTCAAAACGAAATTTCAGTTAGATGTTTTCTTGGAGAGTGGTGTGAACTGGGGAGGTAATTGCCTACCAATCATGTCTTCAGCTGGTCTACTTGTAGTTCTGCCTGCTTTGCGTTCCGGGCGCCGTAAACTCAAGTAGGTGGACAGGTGACCGGGAGCTATCCTTTCAGCACCACCGTGCTCTCTACCTTAGAAATGGATGAAACATAATGGAAGCCCATGTTTTCTTACCAGAGTCACTTCTTGCTTCCATGCACCATTAATTATGAATGCTTGATAAGGAGATAGTGGAACAGGACCAATGAATTAAGAAAAACATTAATTTTAAATATTCCATATTTTCATTTGTCTAATGGAAAATAGAAAAATAGATTCAGGAAGTAACAGCAACAGAGTGCATACATAAAATTCTAAGTTTAATGTGTATTTTTACATTTTCCTTAAGTTATCAATAATAATTTTATTTAAAGTGATATTAATAAGTTTGGTCATATGTTTTCACTAAGAGATTTAGTACACACTACAAATGTATTACGCTTGTTAAGTTTTCTATTATTAATTCTTCTACTTGTCAAATTCTGTCGTGACTGTTACATCTATGCAACACTTGTCATGAACCCCAAGTGAGAAATTGAATCACCACATATTTAACCAAGTAACAGCTAAGAGTTACATGTATAACATCTGATCCAAACCCAGCATTTGGCACAGCTGCTGGTTTTTATTTGATTATTCATAATGGATGGGAATTTCAGAAATGGGCTAATCATGAGTTTGGGAGTGAGGATGGAGTGTTGCAGTTAAAATAGAAAAAATGTGGCAAAAGTTCTAATCAAAACTCAATTTTGGAATGAGAAAATGCAGTCAGGTCTGGCATGATGATGTTCTCAGGGATGGAAATAGAGGTTCCCCTGTTCCACATGATAGGTGTATTCCTTCACCTTTTCAAATAAATGTCAATTACAGTAAACTGCACATAATGAATATACTGATAAGGCTTGTTCTTTAAAGAAATATCATAATGGGACAAATCATGTAGTTAAGCAAACCATTACACTTTATTTTATGTAAATGCAGTGTTTTATGTCACCTTAATACAAAATATGCTAGAGGAAGGGGGAAATATGTATACATACTGAATACCCACTATGTGTTAGTCAGTGTTCCAGGTATTTCATATATGCTATTGCACTTAATCCTATTTTGTTACAACTGACAAGAGATGTTCACAGTGATAAATTGGTCACATAGGGTAACATATTTACATTTTGGGAATAGTATATTACATGGTAAACTGGGCACACAGTATAATCTCTTTATAATTTGGAGATACTTTTACATTCAAGGTCCTGAATAGATGTCAATAAAATAGGTCTAATGTGCATATGGTGATAGGAACATGAACACTTTCCATTATCAAATTCCCTATTGTCAAGTGGATCTCAGTGATAAAATCTAAAATAGTCTATGTGTGCTGAGTCAGAAACAAACCATTTCCCCAGCCTTCTGTAGTTCTCATTAGGTCAGTGTTTATTAGGACAATACTCACATACTCACATACTAATAATACTCAATCCTGACATACCGGCAAACCTTACATTCTCATTATGACAATTTTACTGCTCCATATGCAGTATCCTCCAGGGGACAGTGAAAATCACTAAGGACATTAAGTTAGAGGAACTAAAATGTGAGACGTGACTTATAGTTTTTCCCTTTCCATAAATCAGAAACAAGAAGCTGGATGTAAGTGGTGGGGAAGTCTGAAAATTTGTATCTGTATAAGTGGTTATAACCAATTTCATTAAGGTAAACTAAATGTGCCCGACTGTGGAAGTCTTTATGCATCATTCCTACCCATGGCTTAGTGATGGGCACATTTAATCAGGCACCTGAGACTGTCTAAATCTTCTTCTGTGAGTTAGGAGGTGAATATCTCTATAAGTGATGTTGCATAAGCACAATGTGGGTTATGAAACATTTAATTTCATGTCAATATTGAAGATATGTATAAAAGAAGAAAACAAAAGTACAACTCTACTCTCAGGGATACTGGGAGCCTACCAATCTCAAAATCTACCCACATGTGAATGTAAATGGAGCATTTATGTGGTGAGTCTCCCATAATTCCTGGTAAAAGCAATGTAATTTCTCTTACCTGTCGTCTCTTTACTAAACTCTCCCTGAAATTTGCTTCCTGTACCGGTTCACTCAATATCAGTATTTTGTCGAGTAGGATGCAAATTGTAGAATATGACATCATAAGAATTTAAATTCTGCCTTTCCTGAAATGGTGCTTATTTCAAATGTTTCCCCAGACTCATAGGCTTGCCATGAATTCTTTTTTCTTTCCCAACTTTCTCTATTTCCTTCCATTTCAGCTCTTACGTGATATATAATCAAAGAATGTTTAATTTGAGAGGGGCCTTAAGTGTATTTTCTGAAAAAGATTTATGTTTGATTCTATAAAGCGTGAGTGTTATAATGCTGCCTATGGCACTGGTATTTAGGAGAAATATCCACTTTCCGAAGTCTGTCTTTCTTCACGTCCTGTGCCCTTCTCTCCCTTTCCTTTTTCTCCCCCCACCTCCCCCAACCTCTCTCTCTCTCTGTCTCTCTCTCTCTCTCTCTCACACACACACACACAAACACACACACACACACACACACAAAGTTTCATTTGCCTCATTGAGGTGTCATCCACATTCTATATTATACAATTTTGGCAGGTATTTCATAATCTTCATCTTTCTGGAGCAATCTGAACCATCCTCCCTGTAATTAACTCTTCTGTCAACTGACTCCTTTGATAAATATTGTTGCCAACCTTTCAAAGATACCCTTTTACGTGTAACATACCTGGTAAGCTGGAAAAGGTTCACTGGGCTGGGTTTCTACAGGGGATCGGGTGATAAACCTTCCCAACTGGGTACATCTGTTGTTCTTTGTTGTGTGAAAATTTGTCATTGTATGGAAGAATGCAAAATGCACACTAAACCTCTGCCTCATTGTGGGCCATTGGAAAATACACATCTACATGCATAAATAAAACATTTATGTTAACAACAATATGAGTTGTACTTTTTTTTAAGTGTAACACTATATTGCTATTTAAACTTATAAGCACAGTGACTCCTGAATCTTAGAAATACAATTCCAACTGGAATCCTAAAAGTTTGAGAAGGATCCTTGGTGCTGGGTATGGTTGGTGGCCCTATAAACCACTGTGATTCGTAGCAGTGTGGCACAATAGAAAGCTAAACAGCAAGAAGCACAGATGGTTAGTCTCATTTTTCTCCCTTAATTTAACACTTTCAGGTACATAGTTCCAGCACTGTTCCATTTTCAGGACTGGGGGCAGGGCAAAGATCAGCTTTACAGCAAAGTACCTCATGCGCTCATTTTAATACTCCAAACATGTTACAAAAGTTTTTGAAATAAATATCAATTATAATCTTTTGCCTTCCACTGTGCCTAGTATGTGGTATTAAGCATATAACAGAAGCTTAATAAACAGGATTCAAATTTCAGGCATATTTAAATAGTTGCTGATCGGGAAGTGTTAAATGTCGTATTGACTTATGAACACAATTTTAAGGAAAACATGAGAAAATTATCCTTATCTGAATTAAATCATTATAACTATAAAGCAATCTTTACACCAAAAAATGTTACCTGTCCCTTGTACTAAGAACTTATTAGAATCATAAATCAAATTAACAATGCTATTTTTTTTCAAAAAGTAGTATTCCTGATTGCTCATTTATTCACCAGTGTTGCCTCAACTGCTATTGACTGTCATCATTTAAAGAGCAGAGTTGAAATACTGGGGAAAATAGCTTTCCTTACTTCTCCATATGTGACTTACAACTTCAGCCAATTTCCAAATACACAGGTAATCTTGCTTCCTTTTCTGTATCATCCTTCTTCTGCGACCACTTACTGATCAGAACTGACAAAGATTTCTGCATTGTTATAGAAATCCCTCCAATATTTTGCCAGAACTTTTACCCTTAAGAGATGAAGCACTTTCTGTATCCTGGTCTTGGTTGTGTCTATGGTGGTTATCCAGGGGCATAACCCAATGCCCTAAAGAACTCTCCTGTGGTGGCCTTAGAGATGCATGGGCATCAGCTTTTTCTGGTTAAATAGGCAAGAGACTTCTTTGTGCATTCGTGTCCTTGATTTGAGGAGCCAAAACAAGATTAATAGGCACAAGCAGAATGAAGAAGAGAGTGATTGGGGT